TGTGCATAATTACATTTTTAAAACACTGCTAAGATATTTTTCTTAACTACAATTTCTAACCACATTTAATTTGGCAAATGCTGCTAAGATGATTCATCATATTGTTATTATTTTGTCGAAATATTATGTCGAAATTAACTGTTCAAACAGTTATCAATATTTTAGAAAAGAGAGTTTTTGTGTCTGTATTTTAAAAATATTTTCTGCAGAAAATGTTAAAATATATGCAAAAAATAGCTAATTATAATAATTTTTGTACATTTGCTATCAGTAACAAAATCGCTACAGTAGCCTCTTGATCTATATTATAGATTAATATTATGTCGAAATTAACTGCTCAAACAGTTATCAATATTTTAGAAAAGATCAGAGAGTTTTTATGTCTGTACTTTAAAAATATTTTCTGCAGAAAATGTTAAAATATATGCAAAAAAATAGCTAATTACAATAATTTTTGTACATTTGTAAAACTGATCAAAATTAATTTGAGACATAAACAATCAAATGTATGTATTAAAGATTAATATAAATAATTATATTTTTTTCTTTTTTTTGTTGACTGTTGTTGCAATCGATAGTTAATACTTATTCCAAGACAGGCGGACTCATATACCCTTCAGAAGGGTGCAAAGGACTGCCATACTGAGTCAAAGTGATAAATCTTTTCTGGAAAAAAAAATCGATAACAAGATTGAATTTTTCTCTTTTACTTAATTTTGATATCAATTATCGAAAAATATGATTCCTATACCTTTTGGATGGTCACGAAGGCATACTTACTCGACCACGTACAATTTTCTTACTCCATGTAAAACTATTCGTATTTGGGTAGGTATGGCTGCCTTCGTGACCATTCAAAAGGTATGGGAATCATATTTCTCGACAATTGATATCAAAATTAAGTAGTAGACAAAAATTCAACCTTGTCGCTATCAATTTTTTTTTCAGAAAAAATTTACTACTTTGACGATCCCTTGCACCCTTCTGAGAGGTATGGGAGTCCATTTATCTTGGAATAATGGTATTAACTATCGATTGTAACAATATTCAACCTTGACGCTTTTAATAAAAAAATCAAAATCTGCAACATTTTGGAAAGCTCACCTTTTCAAGCGACAGCGACCGGGCTTAAATATGTATGTATTGTTTTTAGGTTTTGTGAAATAAAAGATTACCCACTTCCCATACTTGTCGTTATGAGTAACAAAATTATTACAGTAGCCTCTTGGTAATATCTAATATAAAATATATTACTATCAATCCTTGAACGTGTTACAATTAACCCTGAATACGAGCTTAATTGTCACACTTTTACAAGTTTATTTCAAAATAAATAATTTATTTATTATTTTTACAAGCAATGATATATTCAAGACCAATATTTGTTTAATATACGTTTAGAGTATTTTAACGAATAATATTCATAAATCTTACGTTCATTTTTTATAAATCATTATTAAAAACTGTGACAGAATCGGCTCTGTTATACATGAATTTATAAATTATAAAGAAAAACATACAATTACATTAATTTTATTAATTTATTAATAATATATACATCAATAATAAGCTAAAGGGAATAACAAGATGATATTTAGTGCCTTCTTTCAACGGTAATGATGTCAGCTCGTTGCAATAATAAATAGTTCAGAATATACTAGTATGATGTAGCTTTTAGGATTGCTCTTATTTTACTTTTCCATACTAATTGCATTCAGAAATCATTATATCAATTATAAAAGTAGCTGCTTCCATTATGTATAGTTAAGATGTTTGCTCATCACCTGAAATTCTAAAGCATACAATTGAATGATGAAATTAATATCCTGTCTTTTCTGACTGATGAACTTCACGATGACGTAGTAACACTCGTCTACCATCCATGCCAGCAGAGATCACCCCTACTGAAAAAAATCACGTCACACAGTTGCATGATGAAATTATGTAATTAAAACATGTAAATTACGTAATGGATTATTCCAAATCTGTATGTGATTGTTTCAAATTACTTAATTTGAAAAGTCTCACATGATGTTCTTTTCCTTTCTATTTTTACCATTCAATTCTTTAAAATTCGATAACTATTAAATGATATGATAGATGAAATTATTTCTAATATCCTGTAATTTTTCAAATTACATCATTTAAAAAATCACGTACTGATTTGGAATAATCCGTTACATGATTTACATGTTTCAATTACGTGATTGCATCATATAACGTTGTGACATGATTTTTTTCAGTAGGGACGCCTTTTCCATTCGTCTGCTGGTCCAATACTTTAACCACAGTAATAAGATCATTTGTCGAAACATTAATTATTGAAAATCTTGTCCACATTAAAGCTTTTGTTAATTTGAACCTTTATGTGTGTAGAATCCTCGACAATGCTCTTTCTAAGGAATGCATATGTTCTTGTACAGACATTTGACTTATTTCGCATTTGTAAATTGCATTACTATCGCTACTGGAAAGTTACTCGAGGTCTATCCTCATGACGTGCAATCAGCTTAAATATGTACATGCAACAATCGCTGATTGCTCGGCTTATCACATAATCACCTTGTTTTGAAAAAATACATTCCACAAAGGAAACACTCAATACAAGCTCATCACAAGATATTCAGACAACTTTTCTTGGTTTTTTAACGTTACACGCGCGCGCGTACGCTCACACAAACACACACACACACACACACACACACACACACACGCACGCACGCACGCACGCACGCACGCAAAATGTTTTCTATAAATTACAAGTGTGTAAAGAAAATTGTTAAAATGTGATCAGATTAAGATTGAAATTAGATTTGAATTTAACCAATAAAAAAAAATCAAGTTTGGTGAATATTATTTTTGATTAATCAAATCCCAATTCAATCTCAATTTTAATTTCTAGTCTGATATGAGTTTCACCACATCATTCATCCTTTCTTCGACACATAATGATATTCCAATATTGATCGCCGCAGTAACTAATAATATTGTTTTATTCGCTAATCTTTTTCTAATGCAGAACTACATTAGCTTTACGTTAATTCACGGAAATCGTATGTTGCATATCGAAAATATGTTAAAATTATCATCTCTGTTACGAAATAGTGATAGGTAACATATGATTGGTAATGTATAGATTACGCAAATCTAGTAGATTTCTACAACGGTATGATGATCTAAATCTGATTGAAACCTACTATTATGTATTTGCATTGCATGTCTTGATTATTATCTCTCTTTATCCCTATTAGCTGCATATCTAGTTTATTGCGGACTATATACACTCGTTTCTTGCACAAACTAGAAAATGTTGAAGATTGAATCTCCGTTATGCACTCTCACCTCACTTAATGCGTGCGCTTGTTCAAACGTAGTTATGAAATGAACTTCCGGAGCAAAACATGCGACACGGACTCTCTCCTCGGAGTATCCGTATTATTTAGTGCGAATAGATTTAATCTACGTTCTTACGCGCGCGTTAAAACTGTATGTATTGCTACAATGATTATTGTGTCATTAATCGCTGAAGATAAGTAATCGATCGAGTTTCTATAGAGAAAGTCGACGCTGACGGAAGAATAAAGGCAGACGCATTGCAAGATAGATGCGATCGACTTTTACTCTCGTTTACGTGAAGATTGCTCGAAACACGTCACGTCCATTATAATAAATTTCTCAGTGCATGCTCGATACGGCTGGCGACGACAGTAGAAGAAGTTTCGTAGGCACAGTCGGTCGGAGAAAGTAAAGAACGATATTTATTCGGGTTGCACGACCGGGATTAAACAACGGATGTCGCGTCATCGGACGCTCGTGTCAAACGCACGCACGAACGATCCGAACACGTGCTGCCGGCGCCATTACGTAAAACCGAAGAAATAAATTAACGCGGCTTTGAATAAAACACCGCAATAATGTTGCAATGTAATAGGGTATTCTTTTGATGTATTTTAAAATAACATATAATGTACATAATAAAGGAGGAAATACTCTCTGAAATGACGAATCTAAATCTGACATATGTTTGTTGAAAATTTATGTGACATATGTTTGTTAAAAATTGCATAATGTGACTGTATTGCGTAAGCGCGAAGATACAATTATCCATTTATTATAATTTGTTCGTTATATCATCTTATTAGCACTTTACAGAATAGAATAATAAGCGCGCTCTTTAAGAACATAACGTTTTTACATAACGCTTTTACTTTCCTCTCTCGCTGCATTTCACTCTCGCGGGGCGTTTACAAAATTTCTATAAAATAAAATACCAGAATAAGAAAAGGGTAAATGAGAATCAAGCGCTGTAGTTGGTACGCATAAATTAGCAAATTTAATATAGTGTTATTGTTAAAATAAATATTACAAATAAATTATTCGAGAATAAATTACAAATAAAATATGTCACAATATCCATAGAAAAAAATGGTTTTGCTGATCTAAAATATTTAGTTAGATACAAATCTGAAAATAATTATATAGGATACTTAAACCGGTTGCTATAATATCAAAATATTTTACAGCATTACTCACCATGCTTGAAATTCCAATTATTATCCAACAAAATTATATTTTGTATGTGGCTACGTTTCTAAATGATTCTGGAAAATTGTTTCTTCCTTGTACTTTCATTCGGTATTCCCCAAGAATATCCGCTTCGTCACAATTTCTAAGAAACATACCTACATATCAGAGGTACATACAAGATTGTCGTATGGAAAATCGCTCGGATAATCGCTACCTCGCTTCGCATCCTTACTTCCGGTCGATGAGCCAATTGATCCAGCAATCCTATCATCGATCTGTCAACGTGTGACAGGCCTGTCACACGCGCGTGTCATGCGACGCAGAAATCGCCTGGCCGTAAATCTCCTCGCCCACCTCGTCATCGTCATTCGCGTCGCCACGGTGACGCGTTCGTTTCGTGTGGCCAATTTCCCCATTGCAACTTTCTTCGCGAACGGCGAACGCATGACCGCTCCTCGCCTTCGTTCCGGCGGATAGTCGCAGCCGTGTATCAAAGTCCCGATCGATCGGCTGCGTCGTGAATAACGGGTTCTTCATTTGTTTCGTTTCGGGAGTTCCTCCTACGAGACGTCCACTTCGCCCACCTTCGTATCGCGATCGATGATCGATAGGACGTTCGTGGTAAAGGTCGCGATTGCGCGAGTGAACGATCGCTTGGAGCGATCACAGGTGACACCATCGAGTGGTGCATGTCACCAGTGAACCATTGCTACAATTTCTTCACGAGTGCATCTTGCGTTTTGGGGCCGGCAGAATCGAAAATTGCTGTTTGCGAGAAGAAAGTGACTTTGAGAGACGAAGGTATGTGGAATTGCGGAGACGTAAAGCAAAATGAATCAATAAACAATTATTGCAAGGAAAGTAATCTGTAAAGTTGATTAGAGACAGCTCGATGTGCCTCTGTGACAATAATGGTGTTAAATGCTGAGTAATAAATGCACCTAAACATTTTTATTTTTATAAACGGTATTATTGATGAAATCTATGTTAATGTCATCATTGTGACGAGCATTTAAATTCAATTTTGCAAGAAATGCTTTATTTATATTTTAATTGATTTCATAACAACTTTTGTTAATTGATTGATTAAACGAATGTAAATTATTTTTGTTGATTTGTATAAAATAAGTGAAAATTAGAAATCGCTGGTCGGTTAAATTCCTCGATTAAATTGCAAGAAAAATTAGGTTCGTGAGCTGAATTAATCAAACACGAAATTTAGCCACGTCTTAACATATTTATTGCGAGAAATATTGTAAATTTATACTTAATTAAAAAGAAGCTTTACAAACATGACAAGAAGGATATCGTGAAAGTTGACGTCCAAGTGCATTTGAGTTTCGTGTTTTCGTAACTCGTAATCATAACTACGAGTAGGTTATTCTTAGAACAACTTGAATTTGTTGCACTCTTCTGCCAGCAAAGCGCAATTGATGATTACAAAGTTAAATACGTTCAATAAATGTATAGATAAATAGTTACAGTATATTAGCATTGGTTTTGAAATATGTACATTGTTGTTGAAAGTGCGCGTATGGCGCAAGTTACTTTTTCTCATTCGTATGCGACACTACTAGAATGGTCGATGCAATGTTTAACACGTATCTGACACTCTCATAATCGTATCTTGGATCTTTTATTAATTACGTACAAAAAACAATTGCGTACACAAGGATATTGCTATATTATCTCCTTTTACTTCTTGACGATTGCCCTCGTTTAAACTTTTTCTTAAGAAATTGTGGCACAGTGCGTTACGAGAGAATCTAGAAATAAAATTTCAAAGAAAGAAGATTCGCGAATATGACAATCCATTATTCCCATTGGCAGCGCTTCCGACAAGATTTCGATTCTATTTTTAGGGAATGAGTCATACATATGTATCTTTTTATGTAAGCCGAACTTCACGTGAATAACGCGTGGGATTTTCTGCTCCCCTTTTTACTTTCCTCCTGCAGGATTACCGAGGTGCGTTACTCTCTCTTCCATTGGAAAGTCACTCGATGTGTTTCTTCGGTTGCGGTTGAGATGCCATATTCGTCTGAACGTGTGTTCGCCACGTGGCGCCACTTCACGACCGGCTGGACAGTCTGACCACAGAATAGTCTTACTACTTAGGCAGCTAATAAAGCTCCATCGTACATCAAAAATGATAGATTTCAATCGAATTTACTCTCAGACTCTCAATAAAATATTCCAGTGAAAAAATGATTTAATGCTTTTCTCTCGATTAATATCGACTATATTGATATTCGTGTATTTTATATTTTATGAGATAAACAATTTTATTATAACTTAATCTAATACAAATTTTTAGTGACAATCTTTTATTTTGAAGTTAGATTGTTGTACTGTTAGATAGTTGTTTGTATCGCGACAATTGTGAAAAACTATAGTGTTCTAGTCCATTTTTGACGACCTGATTTCATCATCATATAGCGGATATAAATGGCGATTTTAAATGGCGACGAAAGGAATCCATTGAGCAATTGTCCTAAAAAAGTAACTGCTAATCGATACAGAACGTGTGTTTAGAATAGATTATCGCTGTTTTAATTTACATTTATAAATGCAATTCTAAATGCATTCCAAAGGTGCATTATCCAAATTCTTCATGTTAAGAGTACTTGATGTTTTCTCAACAAATCCGTTTTTTCTCATAAAATTTTCTTATAAAATTCTAATTATTTGGAATTGTGCTGTTTATTGCACTCAGGAAATAACAAAAATACATCAAGATATGAAAACATTGTCAATCTATCTATATTTAAATGTGAAGTGTCGAAAACAATTAAATTTAAATATATAACTGCAAGTTTTATTGAGATATATATTTAAGTCTAATTTAAAAGTTTTTATTTTTCCAATTAAAGTGTCAATTAACTTATAAGGATTAGAGTAACTCCGGCAAATACACCGCACTGGGATTTACGCTGCAGAAGTCAGAAAAAATAGAAGAAGTGGATGTAATTTTCCCGCAATTTAATATTAATGAAATTATTGTGAGTTAAATCGATTTGTCACTATATGTTAAGTAGTACCATCATAAATTATAATCTGCATAAAATGATTACTGTAGGACGTGTAAAAAAAAACTTAGTGATTATTTCATGATACATAAGTGTAGAGGAATAGTAAAGCATGTTGTATAACAAAATATAAGTACTTTGCTCGTGTATTCTTTGTTTAATTTGTTGCCTTGTATATCCCACCTGTTTGGGATACACGGCATTTTAGCGGGCGGAATTTATGCCTAAAGCATACAAAGTGCGCAGATTGAATTCAGTGTATTAAATACAATAAACACATTACATGAAATATGTGCCTCATGTCATAACACTTGCAATACATGTGGGAAGATTGTAATTATTATTTATTACTTCATATACATATTTATTATTCTTATTTCTTAATAAAACTCTATAAATGCATTTTATAAGTTATTGTATCATTTTACGTCTTATTTATATGCATTTATTTATAAATTTTTCATGAGCCGTACATACCCCCCGTCCTCCTGTGAGTAGCCATATATCCCACCCCTATTGTATATACGGCAAAAATGCAAGGGTTTAAAAAAGTTCATTTTTTAATACGAAATATAAATATTTCAAATTTTTAATATTTTTTTCGTAATAGTAGACAGTACAAAATTTTTACTGATATAGTTCGTTTACTTTAAATATAGTAAATAATACTTAATAAATTAAGTTTTAGATAGGTGCGGCGTATATACCGGAGTTACCCTATTGCGAATTGTATATGTGCGCAATGTGAACAAATCTATATCTTTTCCTGTCTGCTCCAAAAGAGAGAATATCCACAAGAAATATGAGGGTCATCTGATGATTAATTTTAATCAATTACTACATGCTGCGTTTCTAAAAATGCATTTTAAGTTGAAACGCTGCCTTTTAAATTTTGGTCAAGGCAAAAGGAGAGTTTATTTTAGTTAACAGCTCTTAAGATCAAACCAGTGAGCACGATAATTACGAACGAAATCTAATGCGTATAACGATAATTAACCAGCGATTAAAAAGATTGAAATAATTAATATGATGTTAAAGTAAGATTTCCTTAAGTAATTGTTACAGTTTCTCAACTTTTTGTTGGCAGATTGTAAAAGATTACAACATGATACAAATATTGTAATGCATCATCTCTTTTATTCGCAGTTTCTAGAACGATGTGTCAAGCATATTTTTGCAATATGCAAAATAACGAAGATAATTTAAAGAAACTATTTCTTACGTAAACTATATTCTCCAATTTCATATGTAAGATAATGGCTTAAGAAAGTTTTAACATAAATCATGAAACTTTAAAATTACGCAATAAAAGCATTAATATTTGTGCATGTTATACATATGTAAATTTTCGTAGATATTCACACAACTGAATGAGAGTTCTAATACTAAAGGTGATTTAGCTCTTTTTGATGTAGCTATTATCTTAAACTGTGTGTTACTAAATGCGCATTCTATTGAGTTACATAGCACCTGCTGTAGATACGTTGAACTACATAACTAAAAATTATGTAGTTCCTATTACTTTTAATGCTATATCTCTTCTTTTACTATTTTGAGAAAAAGATGATATGAAAAAATCAATAATATCTTTTCTGATTTTTTGGATTATATTGTTGTTTATGCATGAGCGTGATGCTTATTGCAAGATTGGCCATTAAATTATTGATTATTATTGCCATAACAAAAGAAATGAACCCAAAAGTGGAGTGACTTTGAAACTGACTTATTAAACTTTACAATTCTGCACTGTAAAAAGAATGTGTAAAATTACGTAAATAATGTGTAAAAATTTACACAATATTTGTAATGAAAATATATAAAATTGTGCGTTTTTACAAAAAATAATATTTTTACCTTTGTAAATATATTTTTATATTTTTAAATAGAAGATATTACTATATATAACAACATAGTCTATTTTATAGTAATATAAAATTTTTTATAATGATACAATGTTTTACAGTAAGTATTTTTAATGTAAATGTACACATTTTTGTAATATTATATAACATAACAGTAAATAACATTAGACAATATATTTGCGCTTTTACGTTGATACAAATCAATAACTTAAAAAAACTGCACATAAATTTGTTGGCAAATTATTATTTAAATATTTTTATAAACATAATTTTAGTTGTGTAAATTAATTATTTGTAAATTATTGAATTATTTTAAAGAAGAATAACTTTATTTGTAACTTTACTTACGTATGTATATAAATATACACCTTTAGTAGTGAATTCAAAAATTATTCATTATAATTGTAATTTCACATGAAATCTTTTACATTGTGTACGATGATTGTACCTAAAACTCTTTCAAATCAGACTTTGACCTTTGTCAAACATGAGTAGCGGTAACTTGCGAACTTGTAACTGTGTAATTCAGCGATTCACAAGCTGAAGTGTTAGCCAAGTGAGGACGACAGAAGGAGGAGGGTGTCTCATTGGCGAGCGCTGTAGATGATATTGGCTGCTGAGCGGATTTCGCGAATAGAGTGAATTGGAGGGCGCCCCACCTGCGGGAGGCGAGGCTCGCGCGGTGCACGATTCTCGATTCTTGAAGGGGCACACATGCTCGCCTTCGTTTCCCCTTCGGCTCCGTAAGACATCGGGACCTCCTTCACCGTGGTCCTCAAACGAGCCTCGCACTCCGCCAGGTACACAACTCACGCATTCGCTCGCTCGTACGCACTCGCCGCACCGGCACTCGTAAGTCCACGTAACCCTTCATGTACGTTCTGCTTTAACTGCCACGTGACTGATGCACTCGCTAAGATTTCATTGATTTTCCTGTTCTGTTTGTGACGAAGGAATCTGTTTGATTTCAACGAACTAGTATAAACACGTGTTAGGCATTGTTCTCTTTCTCCTACAATTTTACTCACATTTTTTTCTCTCTTATTATGTACTTAAGCGATTATTTTATAAGCTGATCATTTATCCGTTCTTATCAATTACATCCTATTACTCGACCAATCATTTTGTAATTTGACAGTCGGATTGAAAGCTGCTTATTACTAACAAGCAAATTTCTTTGAAATTGCAGTGTACTTGACCAACTATTTTACGTCTATAACAGTCTATAACAGTCAAATCAACTAAGTGACAGCTGTCAATGTTTATTATTAAACATTTTCACAAATAAACAATTTTTTTTTTCGTAATTTTTCAAAAAAGGTCATCTTTATTTCTTACCGTTTCTTTCTGTGGTATTACAAAACATAAATCTTTTCTAGTAGTTGTTGTTATGCTTAAACGGGTTTTCAAAGAAACGTTTATCAAAGTTTCATAAAATTTCAATTTGCATACATTGCATTTACATAACACGATTTGTCGGCATTTAATTTTCTTCATTTCATGGAAATGTTATCAGTAATTAATTGATAAGTAGTTACAAAAATCATCTAGCTAAAAATCAATGTTTAAATACTTCCAAGCTCGCTCAGACACCCTTTCACTTGAACAGTTAAGATTTACTTTCGATTTTATTACGTATACTACCGGGAATCCTGCCGCCTTGTGTCAGACAGCTTTTTTTATTCATGCAGACTAAATCGCAACCAATCTACCAAGTGAAGAAGACACAATGCGGATGTTATGTGCATTCTGTGGATTGTTTCTGGTCATCACCATTGTCAATTGCAATCCTGTTGATAAAAAAGACGCGGAAGAAGATCTCAATCCGGTGAACGAAGTAAGTTGCTTACGTTAGTCTTTCACTAGAAAAAAAGTTTTTGAAGGTTATGTTAATTGTAATTTTGATTGAAAATGAACAAATCAGAATTTTCTGATTACATCTATTATAATTTTAATTTCTATTAAAATTGTAATTATAATTATAATTTTAAACAGATTTCTGACGTGATTAGAATCTCTTCTGATTCGTTCATTTTCAATCAGAAATTTTTCTCAGTATCCCATTTAAAGAACTGAAACGATCAAAATGTTATATTAAGATATTAAATGTTCTCTGATTTCTAGTCGTATATATATCAAGAAAGATATCAGAAGGACAAATTGTACTTCAAATCTTATTTAGAAAGTAAGAGAATGAAATGGAAGGATAGCTGCGATCGCGCACTTTGCTCTAATGAAGCGATTTGAATGCTGAAGTACTTGCAGAAAGCTATTGTCGATCTCTTATGTCGAAAGCGGAATTTTACGATGCCACTGCATCGCATTTCCTTAGAGGTTTTTAATAAGTCAAGATACGAAAGACATAATTGAATTATCATTACAAGTGACGTACTTTTCGAAATTAAACGGACGAAAATTTGACGATCTACGTTGCGAGATGTTGCGTCCTTCTTTTCCTTTCTATAAGCGTAACGCATCGATTAAGTACATACCTTCACTCGATGTAGAATGAAACACATTACCGGAGAAACAAAAAACAAGTTTAGCAACAAGAGTGAAAGTAAACCTTGCAAAAATTGTCTATTCGCTAATTTCATTTTAACTGATTAGGAAGTATGCAATCGATAGGAGAAGTATCTAGGTCAGTACCAAATCTTGTAGCTTATATAAATATTTATCTTGTAGATTAATCCAGGGGAAAGTCTACTTCAATTTATGCCACGGCTTTCTTTTCTTTTTTGTAGCAAGAAACTATATTTAATTTTGGAACAGAACTGTATATTTATACATTCATATTTAATTTTTACTTATATTTACATATTATTTATATTTATATATTTTAATATTTAATAAAAAATTGGTTGAGCAAACATGAACATCATAAAAAAAAAAGATCATTCGTCATTGTAGAAAGAGTCAAAAGGAAGATTAAAGGAAGTTATCCCATCACATAACTGAAACATTACGTTAGCTAAATTCGTTGTAAATGATACAAAAATGAGAGAAAAAGAGAGAAAAGAGACAGAGGATAAGGGATATACGAAAAAGCGAGAAACATGATCTCGGAGAACGAGTCAAGAGTGAAAGTAGTCGGCGCTACCTGTACAAGTTTGAACACGCTAGAGACGGATGAACGCTTGTAACGAAATTCTTTGAAACGTGTCACGCGCATCGATTAACGAATATGTAATGTTGTACATCATCATCGTTATCACCATTCGTGATCACGCGTTAATGTAACCGCAATGTGATTCCACTTGAGGATTATCCGCAACACAGATCGACCTCGAGTCTAGAACGAAAGCAACATTGCATAATGGGGTTGCATGCACGTACGAAATTACAATTTAGAAAACTACATAAATATTACGCGAAGTGCGATTGTAATAATTTTCCATTTTCTCTGCCAGACATTGTAAATACTCCGTGTAAATATTTATGAAACAAGTTATCTCAATAGTATGTAATGAAATACGTAACACTTGACTAATAAATAAAAACGCATTTGATAAAGTCTAAATGAAGGAAACTTCTTCCTGTAATAACGCGTTTCATCATCATTTCTTTTTTCCTTTGATTATAAATTTTAGCTTTAATTTGTTACTTTATACTATCTCTTTTAATTGATAATCTTAAAGTAGCTTAATTTTACGGTCTGCATAGGTCTACGTAATCGAAGCTGATGATGCGACCGATGGCGAAAGGGGCGATAGGGACAAGAGAAAGATTGGCATCGGGCTTGGAGTATCGAACGGCATCATTAACTTTGTGTTTGACGTAAGAATAATTAATTAATTTTTTTGTAAAAAAAAATCTCTACTACTCTTACATATACACGTCAAAACACCTTGTGAAGGCATTAATGTAGTAATTAATAATAGAATATGTAATTAAAATCCTACTTCAAATGTAATATATCTTCAGGACTGGGAAGTAATGCGTTACTTGTAACGCTTTTTGTTACTTTATCGCGGTAACGATTATTGCTTTTTCTTATCTGTAACAGTAAATTCAGTCGTTACTTTTATTGTTAATTTCTTATTATCTTTATAACTATTCAATAGATCACATTATTTTTAATTAAAGAAATATTTCAAGAATTTAAATTAAATATTGAAAAATGTTTTATACTTCATATATTAGACTGCATTCTAATAGTGCCAATACTGGAAATCTATGGTATACATACCTACACAGAAAAAAAACTATTATTAAATCAACCATAATATATTCATATATATAAGCCAAAATATTATAATCTTGCTTCAAAGATATCAATCTTGATTTGATTGAATTTGTATTGATATAAGATTTTTAATTGATCAAGTCTTGAATTAAGTGCAAAGTAAAAAAAATACTTGCATTAAAACAAATTTAATTAAATCAAGATTGATATCTTTGAAGCAAGATTATAATATTTTTGCTTATATATGAATATATTATGGTTGATTTCAGAATGGTCTTTATTCTGTATATATGTAACGTAAACTATAAATTTTCAATGTTGGCAGTAAATATTGAAATGCATTATTAATAACGATATTAATGTTATAAATACATTATAATTAATAAAAATTTTTAATAAAAACTTTGTAAATTACAACTTGATTTTCTGAAAATAAATGTATATTAAAGAATAAATATGTTAATACAAAAAAGTATTAAAAAAGTAGATATAAGTTTATAAAAATAGCTTGCTATAAAACTAGCTTAAAAAAGTCTTAATATTGATTTTTACAATTAATATTAATTATTAAATAATGTAATTTTTAAATCTATTTTATCTTACTTTAACGTTACAAAAACCTGACATCTATTCTAAATTTTAAACACTTGTTTTTACTATTGCTACTTTAAAAGTCTTCATACGCAATGTAGATACATACAAATAATAAATTGTTATTATTAATTTCTTTAACAAGTATATATTTTTGTAGAAAGTAGATTCCTTCATAGATTCAAAAACGAAAGCGCTCGCAGTTCTTGATGAATCTAACAAAGAGAAAAACGCTGTTTTCGGAATCGACAATAAACATTCGGCTACATCAGAGTTCCTCAACAAATTAGTGTCTCAGAAGCTTAAGGCTGCGACGGGTAGCATTGGGCCCCTCATAAACAGTGCGACGACATTATTCTCAGGGGCTTCGGCTGGCATCTCGAAGGCTTTGGCCTCGAAAATCGCACCATTAAGCTCGCTATCTGGCGGCCTTTCTGGTGGTTCGGGTGGAACTGATGGTGCAGGTGCGTGAAATTGCGAGATACTTTCCAATTTGTTTATTCGATCAGTTTTTAAGCAGATATTTTTCACATATGGGTAAAAAAATTCCAAATTCAATAAAAAAAAATCCTGTAATCATATTTCTAGTGAGAAGCAATTATTTGTAAGACGTTTCGCGCAATTAATATTTAACTTTTGATATGTATACATCCTTTTAAGATAGCGTTTACATTCATTGTCACCATTTTATATCATTTTTAATTGTTTTGCCTATAAAATGTAGGACATGCAGACGGTAGCGCAGGACCTTCCGGATCGGCCATCCTTGGCAATCTCTTGACTCAAAAGATAGGTTCTTTGTCGAGCCTGAGTCAAGGTAGCGGCGGTTTAGGCAGTTTAAGCGGCGGTAGCAGTGGTAACGGTGGGAGCTCCGGAAGCGACTCTCATAGTGGAAACAATGGCGGTACGAGCGCTGGCGCTGGGATCAATCTCGGAGCCTTCGCCAACCTGGCAGGGGTAGGGTCGCAATGAGTTAATTTTATTTTTATTTCTATGAACTATTTCTTTTTTATACTTTTGGAGTCCCTTTACATGTCGCCTGTTCTATGTCTGATACGTAACGCAAGCTGTCTGCTGGAATATGTGTCTTCGTAAGAAAGCGGTATACGTATATTACTTCAAAAATATGGATAATATGACAGTTTTTTTTCCTAGAAATTGATCGGTGAACAGTTTTTACTTAACAAACTCGGACGAGGGTGACTGATGGCGACGGTGCATGTAAGGCTATCGCTATTTGCAATGATAATAATTCAGTGCCATATCATAATCAAATAAGTTTTTAGTAGAGGCAAATGCTTTTTTTAAGTATTCATATTTTAATTAGCACTATACTGTATAAGAATCCTTAACTATTTTTATCAGTCTTTTCTTTTATATATTTATTCATTCATTTGCATTTTTTTCATTCATTTATTTGGTCACTATTGCTTATGTATTTCTTTAACATATCTTAGTTATTAATTTTTCATTTTATTATAAAAATGTGATACATTTAATAAAATTGTTAATTTTGTGTGGTAAAGCTTCAGTTTTTATATAACAATTAAATTTAATTGCGTTCAACAGACAAAGCAGTTTAGTGTGCGCTTAATAATTTTTATTACGATTAGTTTCTACGCTTAAATCTAACGAAGAATTAAAGATCAATCACACGCACATTAAATCACTGAGCGCTCACTGAGCTATTTCGTTTTCTGAATACGGCTATTATAATATTAAAAGCATGCTATTTCTATATTCTACTATTGCTTCGATACCTTTCTCTGTTCCTTGAAGTGCTACCATTTTATATAAGCAATATAATTAAATACAATAAAGAACGTGCTTTGCCAATCCTATCGATACGCTTTATTAAACCTTTGGCTCTGCGGCTAATCGATGTTGCCAAGATATATCCTTTTTAACCTTGGAAGGCGCCTTCACGAGAACGAAGCCTTCCGATAAATCATATGCGCCATTAAAACAAGTATTGTACACAAACAGTACGATTATACACCACCACAAGCGGCGTATTAAGCGGCTTAAAGGCAGGTGGGATAACACGGGATGCGGAAAGGGAACGTTTGACTGCGGACATTAACACCTGGACCAACGAGCAGCATTGCGTGAGAGAAGAAACCTCTTTGGAGAAAGATAAACGACAGACAACAAACGAACGTTAAACATACCACGAGAAAATGGGACGGACAGTCAATGGATTTTCGATGGAATATGTGGACGATTTTTCAATGGAATACATTGGCATTCCATATAACACGGAATGTGAATTTCTGTTTCTAGCTGGGCTGATAATTGGCAGAACCTCCTTTCTCTCTTCAGAAGCCCTTCTCTTTCATAAAATATTCGTATTTAAAGAATCCAAATGAAAAATTAATGAAAGAGAGAGAAACAAAATTCTCCAGGAAACTCTTCTCCTGATGAATCAACACTTCCGGCCGAATCGTGTGGACTGCGCTATGTCTAATATAAATTATAGAAGAACTAGCGGCGTCAATCGATTTGCCACCGTGAAAGTTGTAAATAATTTAAGAGTAGCCTTTAAGGGCGCGATAAACTCGTATTCGAGGACTATTAGCTAAGCTTTGTGTAAGCGATGTAAATAGTACATTCAAATGCTCCATGATATACAAAGAAAAATTAATATAAAAGATAGTGATGATGGTGTGATATAATGTTGATGTCAAATAAACGTACAATTATATTTTTGTCTACTATATGAGGTAAATTTCAGAATATCGTGAAGTTTCTAATGTATCCCTTCCTTCATATCTTTATTATATTTTAGGACTTATATACATTCACTTTGATACCTTTTAATCTACGTTTTTTAAAATTATTAATTGAATATTAATCTCGTAATTGAAATAAAATATTAAATTAAAACATTTATTGGTGGTTTTTAAAATATTATTCGCACTATATAGTACTTTTCTGTAAAAAAAACAGTTTTATAAATATATAAATAGTTTTATAATCTATAATTATAAAAAATTTTATTTTATTTATATCTTTTAACAAATATATTAAAATTATAAATCTAAACATAATTATGAAACTATGAATTCAATAAATATCTATGAAATCATAGCACTAGCAATTCACGTTTATTTTTTCTTTATATTCATTGGAATTACAAATAAAAACGATCGTAAAAAACATAATTACCTGCATAAATATAATTTACATATACTTTCACTGCTACATTTTTCCATGTGATACTCTATCATTTCTATTCTAATAAATGATACGATATAGCATAAAACAACAAAAAATCTGATTATATGTATTTGCAGAAAGGGATTACTACTACGGAGGATACACCTGTGTTTGACAGAACTAGGGTGTCCTTGGAAATACCATCAAGTGCATTCGGCACTGGCTTCACTTTAATAACTAATGTTAGCAAAGTTCTCAACAGCGTAATTTTAGTAAGTACAATGCACATATATTACTATTAAAGCAACACATACTAATAAAATATACGTTAATGATTATTTTCCGCTGACGCGCGAGTTTAATTATATGTTCCTTTTCCGTTATTATGATGCAACATTTTTCTAGTACAGCTTAATCGATTAGGTTTATGTTCGGATCACTCTTCATTCACTTCGCTATATTTGCTATGAAAAAACAAGAAGCAATTTCTCTATTGTCAATAGAGACAGAACTATCAATCTCCATACTGTTGTCTTTAATGATCATTTATATTTTTCAGAACTCAGCCCGTCGGACGCAGACGTTGCTGGAAATCTTTAAACCGTTCTTTCGTGGTAGTTTCGCCATAAAGGGTCTACCATCGGATAACCACAAATAAAAAATCCGATTTTTATTTCGTATTAGTACTACGAATTAATTGCTCAATGATCATTGTTTCTTGTTGAGAAATGTTCCACAATTTCCGGTCATGTTTCTTGAATAGATATATATTGTTGATCAGAGTTTGTGAAGACTATTCCAAAGTTTTCTTGATTATAGAATGTCTTAGATCCTAGATTTAGTTAAGATACCCCGATAGACAAATTGTGAAAACATTGCACAATAATGAATGAAAAATTTCGCAATAAGTGCATTAAAACGATTCATTATAACGCAATAGCTTTTTAAAAATAAAATTTTTAAATGATGTTAAAAATTAGACAAATTCAATTTGAGGTGTAATATTTCATATTTTAATTTTTTTTCAAAAATATAATAAATGAGACAGCTGACAGCATATTGAAGAAGTAGATCAAGACACGGTATCTAATAGTTATTTCCAAATGCTTAAAAAACATTCTTAAAAGATTGATTCAATGCCCAAAAGCCGTTTGATTTTAAAATTTCAAATTTAGTTTACTAAATGTATAATACTTTATGTTGCAATATTTTTACATTATGATTTAGGAATTGTGCATTTTTAGGAGCATAATTATATTTTTAAACACAGTTAAAATAATTTTTTCAATTTTATTAGATAATTCCTTTTCATTTAATTTAGCAATTCCACTGAGACAATTCGTTATATAGTTATTCTTTTGCCGAAATACTATGTCGAAATTAATTAAGCAAACAATTATCAACATTTGAAAAGAGATCAATGTTTCTTCATCTGTTTTTGTAAATAATTGTAGATTACAAATTTTATGTATTTCATCTTATAATTTCATGAATGTCCTCTCGGGGATAAGACGGTAATATTTGCAGAAATTTCTTCGCTGTTGTTATTAAATAACTGTTATTTATGACGCCACATTTTTGCCTCATATTTTATTCATTATTTTTGCACTCGTTATACATAATATAAATATATAATATTTCCTGCTTTATTATTTTATAAAATGACTCGAAAATTGGCGTCGTAAGTCAGAAATAAATACGCTTTTAACGATTGAAGCGTATATTGTTATAAAATAGATATTTATATAATTATGTACGTGTAGACCATGTAGATAATAATGTTACTTTAAGAACAATTTAGTCAAATTTTAATTAATTTGTGTGATATAAAGTATGTTAAAATAAAGAAAAAAAAGAGCATCAATCAAACAAATTTACATCTAAAAAAATTAATTTACTTTAGCTTATGTAAACAAATATAAAAAGATATTTAGAATATTTTTTGTATATAACTTAAAACTTTGTTTAAAACTTTTTGTTATAAATTTTATTTATTAATAACTTAATACTGCCATAGTATGTAATTTACATAAATAAAAAAATATTATCATGCAGACTTTTTATTTTATGATATGTTACCTGGAAGTTATTGTACGATGAGATAACAACTTCTTATTTATCAATACTAGTTTGTTACACAATAAGCAGATTGCATAAAAATTTTTGCGTCAATAACGTGTATTGCATGTGATGTTATATACTTAAGGATTTATTATCTAGATAACAGCGCGAATTATACAAGACCCAGTGGTCAGGGTGTCGCATCTAGCTAGAACTCGACCATGTAACGTTTTGCCGTTCACATAACGAGGACACCTGAAGCAGATGTAACGCTTTGCAACACGTGCATTCCTCGTATGTGTTAAGCAATAAACACTCTAATATTATCGAGAAAATAAAAAATGTATTTCTTTAGATTAAATTATATACAGGGTGTATCTTAAATAACGCTCACTAATCATATAGTGCTGTTCCTGATAAAGAACTGAGTTGAAAAGTCTTTACCATTTTGTAATTTTCGCAATATTCTTTTTTTATTTATCCAATAAGCAAAATATCTAAAATCGACGCATAATATATAGGCTTTCTACAATAAGTCACTAATTAAATTAAATCATAATAAATTGACCAATCATAGTCAATTATTCTTCTCATATTCAACTATAACTCATCAATTTCTTACGGCTTAAGACTTAAAACTTAAATAATGGCTTATTGTAGAATGTGTGTAAGACAATTTTAAGATATCTTTAAGAGTTATTTAAGAAACATTTTCAAAATATTTCACAAAGAATATTGAAAGATACCTTAAAATTGTCTTATGCATTGATTTCATCCATTTATTTGGCAATCTTTAGTAATTAATATCTCGTTAATTATTGCAAAATTGCAAAATGGTAGAAAACTTTTCGACTCACGATCAGTTTTTTATTAGGAATAGCACTATATGATTAGTAAACATTATTTAAGATACATTCTGTATGTATAATGTTAATTGAAATATTACTTGTATTTCATTGTTGTGTTTGTATTAGAAAATTAATTATTAGTACTCATTAATAAAATAATAAATCAGAAGAAAGCTCGCATTTAACGATCATTTAGCTTTAGATCTTTATACCTATGTACATATTATATTGTATGTGTCGACATCAGACTGGAAGCAAAAACATTTTACGTAATTCTAAGATCAGCGGCCTGTTGCATTATATATCCTTTTGAAAAGAAAAATTAATGAGAGACGTGTAGCATTATGCAAAAATAAATCGTATGTGCAAAGTTCGAGAAAAAATTGCGACATGTACCGTGAGGAACGTAGATAAAAATAGTCAAGAATTCTACCAGCGACGATACTGTGACGCATTTAAATAATTCATCAATTTAAATAAATAATCAATGCAACGTAATTTACACGTACTACACGAAAATCGTATATGTTACTCATATTTCACAAGCAAATGTGCAGTGTCAAACTAATAAAAACCAAACTAGTATAAATAAAATTAGTCACGAATTTGAAATTTTCGCAAAATATTTACTTCTTTTTGCATTCTCATATATAAATGCTTTTTTAAATAACAAAAATAGCACATATAATATAATTTTAGCAAAATTAAAGTATAAAACAAATAAATATAAATATTAATTTTATTATAAAATAACATTATTTTTAAATTTAAAACATGAAGCATTGCTGATTTGCATTTACGATATTATAAAAAAATTTAAAGATAAAAAACATAACAAATTTGATAAACAATAATTGAATAATTTCAGGCATAATATTTAATTGTAACCATGATAATTATCTATCAAAATAACGGCATTAAAAACGCATATCATTTCTTGTATCGAAAAGTCCCTGCGGTATTTTGTCCGCACAATAGCGGAACCGGCGAAGAATTTTGTCGATTTGTTCTGTTTACACGGAGAATACGTAAGAAGTATCGTAAAAATGCTGACAACCTTCGAGGCCGATTCGAGATGTCGTGAGACGGAGAGAAATCATCTCTCGCTAGTGCTGGCTCTGCCGTCCTGCAAGATGCACTTGTTTCATTTCATTTACTGTGCTTATATGTACTAACGCGATAGATAGATGATGCGAAAGAACGCGTGATACAATTATATATCAGTGTGATAAAATTAAAATAATAATAGCACAAAAGAAATAATAATCTCTTAACAAAAATATCTGCCCAATAGGAAGGTAAGGTAGATTTAACTATATATCATACATATAAATACGCATTACATATATTGTATTATATGTACTCATTAGTATCATTATTGGATTGATGATTAAGTATTCTTTCTACTTCAGTACATTTATGTGATTCGGACATTCCAGGTTCGACTAACCGAATTGGCGATACAAAACTCAAAGTATATTTGAAACTTTACGTAGGGTAGAGCAGGGCTATTATATCAGTTTCAACTTTAAAAAGTAAAAATACATAATAAAGAATGGCTCAAATAATTCAAATAAAAGAAAAATAAACTAAGAAGAGCTACGAGCCAAAACAAACAAATTTTAATGTACATGTAATACAGTTGACATTAAATAACATGAAAATAAAAACAAGATAAAAATATGTC